TAACAGCAGCCCTTTCATCAAGCACAGTTTTCTGTGAATATTTTAAAAAGGTTTTGTCAAGTAATTCTCCAGTGAACCCTATAATTCAATTTAGGCTCTCTATTACTTTGAACTGCAAAAAGCTAGGACCAGGATAAATAAAAGACTAGTTCTTTTTCTATTGTTAAATTCTCTTGTAGGGCCAGCTCCTGGGATGCTCTGAGTGATTAGAAAGTCCCAAATCCATGGATTTATTTGTAATTTTACTGCTATGACATCATGATCCATGGAGCAGGGAGGTTCCTTTCATAGACTCACAGGGCTGGAAGGGTTCTCAAGGGTTATCTAGTCTGACCCCATGCCTGAAAGCGGAAAGTAGTTTTCCTAAGCCACTCCAAACAAATGTTTATCCAGTATCTTCCGGCTTACCCAGCCTCTTCTAGCAAAGCTCCAAGGAAGGAGATTCTACAGCTTCCCTGCTTCATGAAAGGCAATGCAACCAACACGTCGAAAGGTTTTTTTCTGCTCTTTCTTAACAGCACCTCCCAGGAGGGCCATATGGAATAGAAATAAAATCACTTAAATGCAGATTCATAGCATTCATAGTGGATAGAGTTGTCCATCATGTTCCCTGAATAGATGAAAGGCCCTCCTTATACATGACGCTGTGTACCCCAGAAATACTTGCAATGTGCACACAAAACTGGAACACAGTGGACACGTCTACATGAGAAGCTGTGTCACCACAGTGACGAGCTGTGGTGATGTAACTTGTCCCTATGGTGACGTGGAGTCAGCAAGAAGTAATTGTGATGCCACTGCTGCTTTGCAGTAGGAACGAGCAACTGCGCAGTAGGGTTAAAAACAACCTGTGCACTGCTGGGACTGCACAGTCAGGGGCATGTCTAGATGCACCCAGTGTGCATTATAAAAACACTTTCTTTCTATATGTGAGTAGTCAGCACTTTACAGGATTTGGCTCATAAAGAGGCTACATCATCATCCAATTTTGGTTTAGTTGTCAATAATTTATCAGCCTATCACTGGAAGCGTGCGTAGTAATTTTAAAACACAACAGAAAAACATCCATGTTCCTTTCATGTAGCGCTCATATTTTCATTTAAAATAAAACCACGTCACTTAAAATTATACACAATAGCTCCTGTTACTGTAGCTAGTAGTTCTGCATAAAACACGAGAAATCCAGAGTTTTCGAGACCAAAGTCCAGACTTCAGACTGCAAATTCCCCACAGTCTTTGTGCAATTAAAGGGGTCTGGACACACTGTAGTCAAGAAGGGCACCCTGTCTGAACTGCTTTTAAACCAGCTAACTTAGTGCAGACTATACAACCCACTGGAGAACTTGAGTAAATTCTCAGGACTTAGCTTGTGCTATATTCAGTGCTTGCCACAGCCATGCTATTGCCAGTCCCTGAGCCAACTAGTTTAAAGCTAGCTTGAGCACGTCTACATGAGCTGCATTCATACCTTTTCTCTTACGGGATCTAGTCTACATGACAGCAGATCTCTGAACTTAGCCTGTTCTCAAAAACCTAATGCCTGGAAACTCTAAATGTAAAAGAATTTGTTACTCCTGTTGTAAAAGGATCTGTTCCTATTTCTTCCTGCCAAAATAATTACAACTGAGATTGCAACTGCCCATCAACAGAGGTAGATTTAACTACAATTTTTCTGCTGTAATCTTATGTTCCTTGGAGCAGTGACATTCCTTTCATGAAATGCATTGCAACCAACATGACAGATTTTTCATGCATAGTAAGGAAAGAAAAATCCTCCCTTTGTTTCATTGCCCTTGTTTACGCAGTTCAAGGGGACCACAGCTACCGCGTTCACTGAGGCTCTCTGCAGGAAGGAGTTTATAACAAGCATGAGCTCTGATGTAAACACCTGCTAGGAAGAAAGCCTTAAGAGCTACAGAAAAAAGAAGAGAAGTGAATGAATTATTTTTTCAAGCTCCTCTCTTAGCACTATTGTCAGAGCCACTTATTAGTGCCTGAAGGTCCTGATCCCCTGAAGTCAATGGCAAAACTGTCTTCAATATGAGTGGCATAATCAGAATATTTAAACTGCACCCAATTTGCAAATTAATCAAATGAGCATCCCTTCCCTCTTAATGCAAAGAAAAACCACAGCCTCTGGGTTGCCTATTACCTTTGAAAGTCAAAGACTGTCCTGCCACACACCTCACGTGCTCTGATAAACAAGGTAAAAAAACCCCAGAAAACAAAGGTTTTGATGAATGAGTTACAAAACTCGAAAGTCAAAGAAAAATACAAACATTGCAGTTAGTCCCTTTCTAAAATTATGCTTCCCATTGTAAATACATAAGTGGGTCTTACAAAGACCCTTGTGGCACCTGATTTTTTTTTTAATCCTAAAGTCTCTCTTTTAAAGGTTATTTCATGTATCTCAAGGCACTGAAAAGAACCACAGAAAAATCTATATCTAAAGTCAAAGGTCACGATTATTGATGCACGTGTCTAAGTTTCTCATTTGGACAACAATTATAGGACCTGGTTATGTGCATCAAATTGGAATGGCTACATTTTAGTATACTCATTTCTTCTTTTTGCCATGCTGGAGTCCTTAACAGGTGGGAAAACAACTGGAAAAACTAAATAACAGTTACAAGTGCAATCTTTTAAAATGGGCTCATTAGTTTGGTGTGTTTATAGACCTTTCCTGTCGAAATATAAATATGCCATATTTACCAGCAGATAGACACTAATCTCTATCATGAACACAGACTCTCTATCGTGACAGAATCTCTATCGTGAATACAGAAAAGCACTACACAACAGCAGATATGGTATGCATGCACATCTGAGCAAGGCAGAGTTAGGAACATTATGAATTACTGAGTATACATTCATACTGCCTAATGTTAACATTAGGTATCTGAAAATTTGGTGAATTTTTAAACAGAATGTTCATATTGACATACTCTTGCCCAGATTCACATCTGCAAAATATGGTAGAGCTCTCTGCTATCGTTGTACCAGCAGAGTTGTATGGTCGTATCAGAGTTGATAAATTGTACAAAAAGGTTCCCTCTCCAGTTACAAGGCTTAGATTTATTTATAGTTCTTAAAAAAGATAAGAATCCACCTTGTGCAGATAAAACGTGTTATTTTTCCACAAGAGAAATTTCCTTAAAGGCTTCTCAAGTTGGACACATAGCTAAATTAGAACTTGAACAAGACTGTAAGAAGTGACAAAAGGCTGCATTGCAAAACTGCATCTATGAAAAGAGGTGTTTTCCCATAAATGTGGAGCCAAACACATTTTGATGCATTTACGCACCCTCTTTTGTGGGTTGTTCTAACTGCAGAAATAGTATGCTCTTACAGTGTACCTTTGAAAGGGTTTTGAGTGCAAAATGTGTGGAGTGCACAAAGACCTCAGAAACTGATCATTCTGCTCCTCGCCACCGCTCTAGGGATCAACCCAATACCAAGTCTAGGTACTTGTCTACATATACCAATATGAAGATATCCTTGTAAAGAAAAGTATTTTAATGCATTCTAGATAGATGAAAGTGTTAATCCATTATATGTTAATCCTTTAATCTGTTCCTGTCCCATAATAGAAAGACAATATTGCTCTAAGCTACGCTAACAGCCATACGACCTAACAATAAATTTCACTCTGATAAGGTGATACGAAAGTGGAACATTATTTTATTATTTGATTTTATGTGTGCAGATTTTAAGATTGCTGTCTGTGATGGAATTAGGATAATTTCTCTATATTTAAAAAAAAAGAAATCTTAGGTTGGGAGATTATCTGATGAAACAAGATATAACAAAGTCTCTGTTGCAAAATGCATTCCTATCTGGATCTGCAGAAATAGATTTGTTTTTCAAAGAAAGGATGACAATTTTCCGACAGTAATTTTGGGAGAATGAAAAAAGCTAAAATAAAAGCAATAACAATGCACTACAGGTAGAGGAATACTATATTAAGACTCCTTGTGTCCTTACATTAAGATTTTTTGAGTAATTGATACTGAAATTTTCAAAGGACACTAGAGAGAGAGAGAAACACCCAAACCTCATTGAAAACTTGAATGCCCAAGTAATTTGAAAATCCCATATCTGATTTCACAACAGATAGTTATTGGCCCACAGATAACTCATTTTTAGACCCAATATAAAGATTAACCTTCCAAAGAGTTTGTACAATTGAGGCTGAATTGGTATTAGAAATTTATTAGTGTAAACAGATGCCATGTTTTATATTTAAAGCTGCACCGTGATAAAATCAGATAAAGAAAATTAATTTCAGTGCCCACTCAGGGTTTTGCAAGTTTAACAAAATGGTTAAAAAACTGCACCTTAGTTGAAACCAATCCCAGTTTGATTATGATTATAGACACGGTTAGAAACTAATTAAGCTCATGAAGAGTACCTCTGTTATGAAATATTAGCCCATAGTACTATCTCTGCCAGACTTCATGCCTGATTTGGAGAATAGGGAATATAATAAAACAGTTTTTCATCAGCACAGTCCACTTTTTGAAATGCATCACATTACGAGAAAAAAATCCCACTATGAGGCTGGTTCAACAGCCTTCCCCTCTCCAGAGTATAAAAACTCTATGATATAATAAACACATCTTGCATAACTTCAAGTGGGAGGAGTGCTCTATAAACATTGACTAAGTCTCACAACCCACTCTAAGGTGGGAAGGAGTTTTATACCCCTTTTCTAGATGGTAGAGGTGAGGCAGAGAGAGGTTAAATGACCTTCTCAAGTTCACGCTGAGTCGTTGTACCCTAACCAGAAGGCTTCCCTAGGCATACAGACCTCTGGCCCACCCCTGCCTACCTCTTGCTGCACTGCGTCCGGTGCTGCTCTATGATAAAAAATAAGCACAGTTCCTCAAACTGACCAAACGGTGGTAGCAGGGGTGTCTACTGACTTTTGTAGCAATAAAAGAGAGGGCAGGGGTGAAAAGAAGGGAATAAAATTCCCTGGTCTACCTTATTCAGCTCAGACTGAATGATCCTAACCGTTCCTTTTAACCTTAACATCTGTGAAAAGTGAGAAGAGACCCGGAGGAGGAATGTGAACATGGAAAATTATAGCGCTTTCCCTTGCCCTTTGAAAAAGGCCAGAGAAAACTGCTGCCTCCTCTCTATAAGCCTTAAATCTACCTTTTCTCCCTGTAAAAATATATATAGCTCAGCTTTCTTCCTCACTGAAAAATCCAATCACTCACTTGCTTTTAGTTATCTAAAAGCAACAATACTGTTCTGCCTTTTGGCTTTGTTTGCACTTTTTGTTGCCATTGCTAAACTGCAGAGATGCATGTTCAGCCTTGTACTAAGTGCCAGACTCTGGGCTCAGCTCCCCAATGTCAGTCTCAGTTAGCTCCACAGAAGTCAGTGAATTACTGCAGCGCTCTGTCTTTTATTGGGCAGCAGCAGCAATAAATAACCATGAACAGTGGTAGTTTCAGCCGCTGCGGCTGCTCCCTTTGAATTCTGACTAAGCTCAAGTCTCTGAGCAACTCATTTGAAATACTGATGTTTCAGTACGACGCCTTTGCATGCTTTAAGCCCATGTTGGGGGTGTCACAACTGAAGATCCCTGAAGACCCTGAGCAGACGCAATCAGGATTCTCTTGGCACTTCTGGGAGACTGCACACTGCAACGAGAGCTGTACTGCACCTGCACTATAGACATAGGTGTACTCCCCACTACTCCCTTCTTGTGCACTCACGTATACAATCTAGCTTTTCCTACTCCCAACTCAGCAAAACACTTAAGCCTGCATGCTTAAATCCTGTGGATGCCACTGGGACTTAAGCACGCTCATAACTGCTTTGCTGCATAAAAATGAATTTGAGCACATTTAAAATTTAAGCACACACTTGCATGGTTAAATGAATCAGAGCCTCCTTGTCCAGGACCATATGCACAAATACAGTACCAGTTTCATATTTTGATACAATAAATGCCATGTGAAGGGGAGGGGCAATAACGTTTAAGAACAATAATCTTTGTTTTACTCAGTGTTATAACAACATAAATTAAATTATATTACATAAATAAATCAAGTGTATTTGTCACTGTCACTAATCCTTGTACACCAATCCTCACAAAAGAAAAATGAAATGGAGATGGTATGTAATAGCTCCTCTACGTTTAGTTTTAAACAAATGAAATAATCAAAAAGAATTAATTTTGGAACCAAATTTAATCATATTCTTTACATAAGCGCTAGAAAATACGGGTCTGATCCTCCTAGCTTTGGCTCCAGCCCTACAACGTTTAGGGGGAAAAAATCCACCTGTGGTTCAAATAACTTAGGAAGCCCCTACAAAAGAAAGATGCCAAAGACGTCAGAATCTAGGGATGAAGCTTCCAAGTCAAACTCTTCATGGCTAAAATAGCAGCATCAACAAGTACATAAAAATTAAAATGTTAAAATGTCAAAAAAAGTTCTAACATACTTTCCAGAAGTCTCTTAGGAGATATGTAAGTACTGTCTGCTAGCGTACTCTCTTCTAGGAAGATTTCGCCAGTCTCAGGCCATTCACCAGTGAATAACAGGGAAAATATACAAGGTATGATTAAATCCACATACTGTGAATCTCTTAAAGGGACTGGGAGGTGAATTAGGAGAGAGAATCAAGTAGCCATAAGTGAAACAAAACCCATACCTTGGAGCTTGCTTTCAAGTCTGCAGATACAATGCCTGTCCACACAAGACATGCCTCAGTACTGCAGAATCAAATCACAGCCCTTTGGGAACACCATGTTCCATAAGCAAATGCTCAGTGCCCTAAGCCATCATGCAGAGGCATTACAGAGCCTCTAAAATTTCAGGGGCCTTCAAAGGTGGGGTATATTGCACATTTCTCCTGCCTTATCAAACTGAGTCTGCTCTACACATGAACATGATCTATATCATGCCAAAATAAATTTAAAAAGATGAAAAGCACATACAGCTTTCAAGTTAATCTCCTAATGGAAGATCTCATCCTATTTCAACTGAAGTCAACAGGAATTTTGCCACTGACTTCAATGGGAAGAGGAAATTTCAGTACTTAACTGTGTATGAAACGAAGTCATTATAGGATTGGAGACTTGGGGCGCCTATACACATGCAGGGAGGCTGCTCTGACACGCTGTAATTACAGTGCGTTGGAGCAGACTCAATTGAGTCTGCTGGTGTGCGGTAATTACTGAGCTCCAGCAGACTCCAGTGTCACGTGTATCAGCATCCTCGCGCTGAAAAATGGCAGCAGGGCATTTTAAAGCTGGTTCGCCGAGCTTTAGTTCAAAGCGCCCCACTGCCATTTTTCAGTGCGGGAACACTGATGCATGTGACGCTCCAGGCGCTTTTAATTAGTGTGGCTGTGGGAGCTACACTAATTAAAGTGCCCCCACCACCTCCTGGAGCACGTCTATAAACGCCCTTGGTTACTACCTGTCTTTCTGTCAGATACTTTGAGTACACAATGCAAAAATATATCTTAATGGTAAGCGCCCTAATCAGATACAATTTGGTTCCTTGAATTATAAATAAAAACACATTCATTGGTCAAGATACCAGACTATGAAGACTGCACAATATATGTTGAAGCACAAATGGTGAATGAGGCACATGTTGAATATATACACAGAAACCAGCCAGTCATACAAGACAGGATTCCCAAGAGTGAGCACTTTCCAAAGGACTCACGTTGTTTGTTCTTGCTGCTTGTTTCCTCCTTTCAATCTCTGTTTTCGTTTTGCAGGTCACAAACTTTGGTTCATGACAGCAGTACATGTGCAACACAATAATGCAATGGTTACAACAGCAGTGGCAGGTGAAGGACCAGCCCAG